ACCTCAACCCCCGTCCTCTGTCCCCCTGTGCAGGAGGGGGAAGAGGTGGAAATCGGGAGAGAAGGGAAGCAGGGAGGGGTGGGGGAGGTGTTTTAAGATTTGATTTTATTTCTCATTATCTTCTTGTCTGATTGGTAATAAACTAAATTTGTTTTTCCCCCAAGTGAGTCTGTTTTGCCCGTGCCAGTAACTGCTGAGTGATCTCTCTCTGTCCTTATCTCCACCCACGAGCCTTTCATTATATTTTTCTCCCCTCTGCCCAGTTGAGGAGGGGGAACGATAGAGTGGGCTTTGGTGAGCATCTGGCATCCAGCCAGGGTCAACCCACCATACCCCAATATGCTGTAATTCACAACTTCACTGTTTTCCAACTTCTTCTAGTATCTAACCAAAGCGTTACTACTCTCAAAAATACAATTATATTATCTATTTTGGCACCAAGCTGAGAAGATGAAACAAGGTATACAAGAAGAGCCTTTGCTTTTTTTCTGTTAGAAGGCAGTGCCTTTTTAAAACAAAACATGCATTCAGCAAAATGTGCATTCAAAATGTCCTCACACATCCTCACATAATTTTCACTGACAAGAAGTTTTGTTTCTGACCTAGAAGAGGCTAAGTGTTGTGGATAACTGAGTTGTAACCAACTGAGCTTTAAGAACTGCACACATGTAATTTGATCTTTAATAAATGACATACCCACTTAGTACTGTAGCCATATAAAGACCCAGTTTACGAAAGATTTCCCAGTCCTCAACTTCTATTATCTTCCCAGCAATTAAAAACACAATACCAATTGGCATATACCTAGAAAGCAAAAACAAAGCAATTAAAAATGCATTCTCAGAAATACTGCGTGCTCACTAGGGAATAATTTCTTGCACAGTATAACTTTTTACAATATAGGGAAGTTTTTTTAATATATATTCCATTACAGAACTGACTTTATTCACTTGCAGTAAGACTATAATAGAGGTAATGAAAAAAGATTAAAAAATCAGAGTAAATGTAACCCTATGCATAGTCTAACAAGTACTGTATGACCTGGTGTTACAGAATACATGGAAGTTGGGAAGGGGTGTGGGCTTTGTCCTACTGCAGCAAACATTTATGCACAGCCATAAGCTTACTTGGAGGTGGAAGTTTGCAGGGCTGAGACCAGTATCTGTGCATGCTGCAATCACACACAGATGGAAAAGGTCTCCTTTGCTTACAGCAGCTGCCCTGCAGCACTGGGCCCTATATCTGGGTCACCTGCACACAACAAGAGTGATTTTAGTATGTCGGGACAGTACAGTCATCAGTGTGTTGCTTGACGGAGGGGTTCCCATCTGCCAGTAAACTTACACAAGGCCCCGTCTTACAGACATGAGTAGCTTGCACGGGCTACTGCCTTCAGAAAACTCAAGGCAAAAATCAGGATGTATGCTAGCACCAGCGCCACTGCATTCCTTTTGGTACCAGAGAGCAGGATGTCACAGAGACAAGCTGCCACTTCAGAGCTATGAGTAGTATAAATTAATTTATAAATTTGTGAATATATTAAATTTATCCATTTAAAAATATAAATTATAAATTTATAAAATGTGTGTGTGCTGTCCCACAAATAAAATAGTACCTTTTCCCTGTGCAAAACAGGAGGTCCCAATTCCTTCTGAGACCTGAACTTGGTGAAAGCATAACTAATTCCCCATGCTGCCAGCACCAAACTTTACCTTATTCAAGGCAACAGCTCTCACATCTGTAGAAACACAGGGAGCTTGTAGCCACAACTTCAGGCACATGCAAGACAATGGATAGTCAGCTTACATGTAGGATTCTGTACTTGTGGCACGTGTTAACTCTTGGGTCTCATGAGAGGTTATTTGCTGCAGAGTGCGGCAGCCTATTTCATGGGGCTGTAACTCAGCTGTGGACTGAACCAGCTGCCTAGCACAAAACAAGTTCCAGAAACCAATTTACCTTTCTTTAAAGGCAGCAAGAAGTGTGCATCTAAACCCTGGACAGGTTTACGGTTTTACAGGCATCTCAGTGTGCAGCAGTGGAAGAAAATTCCATGGAAGGGCCAGATCTGGTAAGCTACTGTTGTGTGAAACATGTGGATATGAGCAAAGCATTGTAGAAAATGGCACAAGGCACTCCACATGTAGGACCATATTCTGCAAAGGATTGTGTGTGCTTATAGTCCTAGTTCTGTAACTGTGATCTGCACATACAAAAGCTCTGTGAATAGTTGTGAAGTCCAACCACAGAATCACAGAATGGTTTGGGTTGGAAGGGACCTTAAAGATCATCTAGTTCCAACCCCCCTGCCATCAGCAGGGACACCTTCCACTAGACCAGGTTGCTCAAAGCCTCATCCAGCCTGGCCTTCAACACTTCCAGGGAGGGGGCATCCACAACTTCTCTGGGCAACATGTTCCAGTGTCTCATCACCCTCACAGTGAAGAATTTCTTCCTAATACCTAATCTAAATCTACCCTCCTTTAGTTTAAAAACTATCAGAAAATTTGCTACATTTAAAAATTGATTTTCCTACCTGAGAATATTATGAGAGAATACTGTAAGAATGTTGTCTCACAAAACCTATTAACAGATGGTAAATTATGTTAAGTTGTATTTTGCATATGATTCTGGATTTTGTTCTGTGTTGTGGCTTGTATATTAATTGATATTTCTAAAGGAACTTAGCTCCAAGGACACCATCCTGTGAACATAATGGCTATCAGGCAATAGTGTTCAAGACTGAGAAGGGCATGTGAGTGGTGACATTTCTACAGTCCTCAAATCACTAGTGCAGTTGTATTAGTTTAATACAAACCTCTAGCAAGAATGTCCTGAAAAACTCAGGTTTCTTGTGCACCAATAGTACTGTTTCTTTAGTATATAGTAAGTGGAAGGCTTGTCTCCAACTTCCTCTAAAGGATCAAATTCTGGAAAAAGGAAACTGTTTACCAGTCTGTTTTTTTTAAACCTGTTTGCTGTATAAACTTGTATATAGCACTATACAAAAGCAAACATGAAGTATGAGTCTGCTCCTACATCTTCAGTGACAAAATCCACTTTAAGAAGCTAGAAAATGCCACTATGTCCTTGGACTTACCACATAATTATCTGAACTATTCTCATTGTAGCTTCATTCAGTGCATTGAAAAAATCCACCAGTACTTGTCCTTTCTCTCCCATTTTCCCAATAACCATTCCAAAAACAAGACAAAAGACGATCAACCCCAGCACATTGATGCCATCGGAATACACGCCCACAAGTTTGTATTCTTGGGTTTTGTTCTAGGGATTAGATTCAAAAGAAAAAAGTTATTATCTGAAAACACTCAATTTACTTTGAAGAGTTCTAAAATTAAAACACATCTAGATCTTTCTTTGAAAAGACACAGAGCTCTTCCCTAGTCACTGCTAAGTGGGCAAGTTCAGGAATGAAGGTAGAACTAAATTGTCTTTGAAAGCTTTGTATTTTAAAGCTTTGCAAGGATCTGACCAAACCCTAGCAGGGGATAAAGCACCCCTTAATCTATATTGCCTTTTCTATAGACTTCTGACACAAAGTATGGCAAGGTCTAGGTATCCACAGTCGTGCCTTCAATATACTCAAGACTTACTCCCTGCTGTGGAGAACAAAACACAAGCTGATGTAGGATCCTTGTGGTTATTTCTGAGCAACTCAAGGGCTTGTGTCTGCATTTAAGATAAACAGTCCACTGCATAAAAGCTGAGACAATGGTATCCAATTTTGTCCCAAGTTTTAAATCTATTGTTCAGCTGAAATCAGTGAAATTGCAAAATTTATAGCAGAATTGGATGCACATAACATAAAATCCTACTAAATAGGTAGGTATTCACACATTCCTCTGTTTGTGTAGTATGAATACAGGAAGGAAAGGGTGCAATTCTTCACTACCCTGTGCTTCAGGACTTAATTAATGTCTTTTCATAGAGCTCATGTTCCCATGCTCTCATTAGTATGAGATGAAATTTCAAAGGAGTATAATAAAATGCATATTGATTTGGTATTATTCATAGTTCTGTGTTCACAGTCTACTGAATTGCTTTCTCCCTCTCCTCCAGTGTAATTCCAGGCTTTATAAACCATCAACATCCATAAGCTTTCCACACCTCTAATCAGAGGCTCATTAAACCTCTTCTTCACTTTTGTCTGTTTACATTACTTTGCAGAGTAACAAACTATTAATTAACAAATGCCTTCCACTGTTTTGCTTTCTATTAAAAAAAATTATTACAATTTTCCATTCCTTTCTTCCTCCAGTGCTTACAGTTATCTCATTGCTGCTCAGATTCTCGTGCTGTTATACATCCAGCCTTTCCACAGTGACTGTTTTTTTTAATTCTTCAGCAAATTGACAATTCATTAGCATACCCATCTAATGGAGCATATGAATGGATTATTTTCTCATATCATCTATTATCTTTGGACTGCTTAAATTACCAGTGGAGTCCTCTGGTGTTCTTAAACCTACTTGAAGATCATCACAATCACATCTAGCATTTACTTTGAGACCTTGCTAAAATCTATCTATGTACCATTTCCTTCCTTTTCTCAATAACTAATGACATCAGCTAAACCACATTTATTCTATGGTCTTCCTCCCCACTTCATATATTATGAAGGAATACAACAATAAAGGTCACACCTCTGATGCCTCCGCTGTTGCAGCAGTTGTAACTGGTTCTTCTGTAAATGTGGAGCTATTTTTATCCATGCCAGTTGTAGCTTCAACCTTTTCACGCTTGGTTTTATACTGGAAAAGTTTTTAAAAAAATAGAAAAGCTTATTTAGAAACATGTGGAAACTGAAGAATGGACAAAGGCATAACCTTTGTCTAGTAAAAATAATGGAAAAATGAACCAATCTGACTTGAAGGTAGCAAACATAGACAAATACATCATTTCCCAATTCATGTGAGCCATCACGGTTCAGTACTTCAGATGCTGTAGATCAAACAAGTGATCCACAGATAACAGGCCACAAATTCTGCTCCCCAGGCTCTCAGGTGCCCTGTTGACCTGGTGCAGTCTTTTGGGGCATAAGATACAGCTGCTGACAATGGCAAGTGGACTTTTTTCCAGGACAAACACTCTGGAGAGAGTTGCTGACAGCCACACCAGGAGAGGTTTGTAGAACAGATGCACCTGTTAAAATCAGACCCCTGGTAATGTGGTTAGCATAGGTAACACCATTATATAAGGCAAACAGTCATTCTCTGTGGCTGAGCTGGTCACTTATTAGTCCCCTTTTCCCTTATCATCAGGCCCTGAAGACTCTGTGCACCAAACAGACAAACCAAACAGATTTCTTCTTCCCTTTCCTACCAGCCTCAAGATGCCTGGGTGCCAGCCTGACTACTCCCCTCCTTACCAGCCTTGAAGGTCCCAGGCATCCATCTTGCCAGGTGTTGTCGATAACCCTGCCACAGCACAGGGAAGTGTAACAGCACCCAGAGCACTGTCCATAAAATCAAGCAGTTACAAGTCCTAAGGGGGAACCTGGACCAGAGCTGCTGCTGGACAGTGAGACTGGGATTCCCCACTGGACAGGGATATCTCCACCATCATCTGCTTCTTCTGAGGACTGAGTGACTCATATTCTTTTATATGTTTTTTGAGTCCAGATTATGATTGTTATTTTGATACAGTAAATGAAGTATTCAGATTTGACCTAATCCTAGAGGGTCCATATGATTAGAAACCATAAGCTAAGTGGTGCTATTATTAAATTGTACTACAGTGATTCTGCTTATAGAAATCCTGTGCTATCCAGATTATAAATTCTGTGTTAAGCATAATATCTTGTTAAGAAAATAAAGCTTTAATTGTAACTACAATTTAGTGCTGTCATCATTCTGACAAGGATCCTTGAAAGAACCTGTCCCCTTGGTGTCAGGTGACAGTAAGTAACATATGAGAAAAACTACATGAAGTTTTATAAACTAGAAATACATTCAGTGCTGTGCACAGCTGGAGAGTTAACATCATTTCATGGGAAAGGTTAACTATCTCACATACAAACCTCAGGTAAACTGGTAGGCAGCTGCTGGGGAAGACAAAAAAGGGAAGCAGAGAGCGTTGCAAAAAAACAGTTGATATATTTACAGATTAAGATGATTGAATCTGAAGTAAATCTGATCTATAGATAGCAGTTTCCTCTTCCATCTTGCAAATCTCACTTTTTCAGAGAGATGTCTCAAATAGACTACGAACTTGCTGCCTTTTCCTTAAGATGGATCATCAGGTCTGGCAATCGATATTAGATGTGAGACACATCAGGGTGAAGGCTAAGTTATGCAGATTTCATCAGACACTGAGGGTTTTTAAGAACAAGGAAACAGATACTCTTGACATGGTTCTTCTAACTCTACCTGTCCCAAAAGGAAAAATCTTGTTTTATATGCTGCTTGGTTTCTGCACCCAGCTCCTAACAGTGTCCTTTTGCAAGGGATTATCAAGGACTTAATAGCTGATAACAGTGTTTTATCATAACGGAAATGAAAACAAAGTGCTTTAAAATTTATTCAGATACTCCTGGACTTTTCAGAAATAATTCTTACCTGACATAGTTTTTGGGGATATAAAAGAAGAATAGTTTGTAGCTGGCAATGAAAACTACAGCAGCAAAGAGGGATGTTCAGACTTACTTACCTGTTGAAAACAGGCCTGCACAAGGTTTTCTGGGAACATATTCCTGTTAAAAAAGTAGAAGCATTTCAACATTATAGCATATTAAGAATAAATTGTTTATATAAACAAAATTATAAAATCTGCTGCTTGAAGAACAGGTTGTGTTCCTTTATCCAGAAAAGTAGTGTATTTAGCACCATCAGATATAAAATCCAAAGAAATTAAGGGTCCAGGACTCCCAACGATCAGTTGACTGTATTCCTACTGTTGAATTTTTGGGCTTATATTTTCAGTATTTGACTAAATCCAGTGGGTTTTTTTTTTTTTTCCCTGCTGCATCATCTCCATCATTTGCATGAGGAATACAGGACACACAGTTTTTATAGGATTTGTCAATTATGGGCAGAAAAAAACACAACCTGCTGTAAACACTGTGATGGAAGAATCAGATATTTGGTGTGCTCTGTTGTAGTTTTTAATCCAGAAATTAATCTTGGCTGATGGAAGATTCCCATGTGTTATTCCAGGGTCAAGAACCATTTTAGTACACTGAAAAATTATGGTATTAGATCAGAAACAATGCAATCCAGTTATGTGCCTCCTTTCCAACCACTAATTTCAGATTCAAACAATCGCAGAAAAAAAGCATTAATTAGGTATTTACTGAATACCCAGTCCAGTGCAGAAAAAGGTATATAATGAAGCAGAAGTCTTTATCTCCCTTACCTTTCACCAACTCCTGCCTTTATTTTTCAAATTTTCAAAGCTAAATTTCTTCAAAGGCAAGAGTTTTACAAGCCTGGGAATTTGCTTAATCTTTCAAGACTATCTGAATTTGGATCTTAAATCTGATGAATATAAGTAAGTAGGAAAAATAACTACAATTCCTTTAAGAGAGAATTTCAGATCTTGAACTCCTAATCTGCAGTCTTATATTTGTTTACAAGAAGTTGAGCTACAAACAGTAGCAAAAACCCAAACTACTCTGAATTACAAATCACACTGCTTCCTACTATAGGAAGACTTTTTTGTGCATGGAACTACATCAACCCTGTGAATATGTGTGGAAATGTTCATGTGGAAGTTACTGGTAACAGATTGCATTAGGTTTTATAATGCAGCTGATTGCACAGTTCCCCTAATTGATTCCTGGGCAAGTGACCATGAGGAATGAGATAAGCCATTGAAGGAGCTGCCACTCTGGTCATGCACAGGCAGGAGGGTACAGAGGCTGGGAAGAGCTGTGGATTGTTGAACATGGGGCAGTGGGGTTGAAGACCATTAACTATCTCACATACATACAAACCTGAGAAACTGAGTTATTCTCAAAGAGGTCTACCTTGACCTGTGCCGGGGCAGAGATGCCCCAGATGACAGCAGACCTTTGGTATTAAATAGAACAGTGACTTTTTCAAGATAGATACATACATATATGTTTATACGTGTGTGTATACTTTACAAATGTCAAAGAATTGTGTACCTGGAGCTGCATCTGCAAATGCCAGTCACATTTCCTGAGATGAAAAATGCTGAGAAAGCCAATTTTAGGTATATGGCAGTTCTTACATGATTACACAATGGCATTCTTATGTGATAGATTAAGTAAAAGTTCTACAAAAAGAAAATAGTGAGTGGGAATAGTGACATAAAGCAGAGAATAATTATAGGTGGAGAAAAAAAAATAGCCCTGAAAACTAGCTCAAGTCTTCTGCAGACTTTTCTAGGGGTTTACTTCTTCTAACCACTTTAAGTAATTCTCATTTTCCAGGATGCTGATGAAGAAAGCCGCATTACAAGGTTGCCTTAGATACTGGTGATGGAGCAAACCTGTTGACTGCGCAACCCTAAGAAACCTTTTCATACCACGTTACTTTGTATCCTGCCTTGAGTAGGGGAAACGTAACACTGCAGTTTCAGGTGGCTGTCTACACTGGATGACACAAAAACTGCCAGGCAGCAACCCACCAACAATTCAATCCCTTCTGGATATCTTTGTCATACTAGATAAATCTGGCATATCAATTCCTGCAAAGGAGGGAATTTTTGTTGTCATTGGTTTATTAACAAAATATATGGTAAAAGAGAATTATTTTTAATAAACTGCTTTGAATATACTCTAAAATGTCTAACCTCTTGGAATACAAGTTATTCACTCCTTATTCATCCAAACAATATTAGAAAGCATTTTTATTGTATTATATATCACAACTTTATTTGTGTTTGTTTGGACTTCTGCAACAAGGGTATTGAAACTAAAAAAGAAAACCTCACCTGATCAGATCCAGCATGGCATCAACAGTGCTGACTTCTGGGGTACTGCCCACTCTGTCGATCTCATTTGCTGTTTGAGGCACTCCAGGTTTAATAGTCACAACTAAGACAATCCCTGCAGAAGGAGAATCAGAAAAAGAGCTCACAGTGCAAGCAGAGGCATTGGTGCATCCTGCCTCAGTGTATCCCATGTAGCTAAATTCTTCATGAGCAAAACTCACCAAATGCTTTCCATGGGTACTCATGCAGGGCTGTTCAGAAAAGAGAAGTCTACAGGTGGTGTCCTTAAAGGTGTGGGTTCCCCCAACACTGGAGCTACTTGTGGCTTTGACACTGGACTTGGGCACTCTAGCTTTGTTTCTGCATGTATGGTACTAAATCACTTCTGCTCACCAAAAGGGTAAATTACTTCAGCTAGGCTTCAGCTGAAGTGTTTTGCAACTTTTGCATGGTAACATTTTGAATTGCTATTTACCTTTTCCCTTATGCAGCTCTTCTTGTTACTAGCTTTCAGATATAAATACAAGTGTGTTGTCCTGTGACACCAAAGTACAACGGGATGTTTTGGTAAAGTTAGTTAGCAATAAAGTTACATAAGAGAAGGGCTTCAGAAACAGACTGAAATAAAAAATTATGGGTAAGAAATACTAGCTTTGACCTTGTGAATACTCAAATCAATGACAAATTTTCCATTTTCTTTAATAGCTTCATTTTAGGCATTTCTACTATTATATGAAATACTAGGTCTTTCCAAATGTACTTTTTTTTCCCCCCTCCACAAATCCAAACAAACCTAAAGCAACTGAAACTACTAAATCTCAGTGTAGGGAGAAAGAGGCATTTGGATGACTCTTCAACCAGCTAGGAACAAGGTTTTCTAATGACAGCTGTGAATAAAAACAGAACTGAATTTGAGTAACTCTGCACAATGAAATGAGTAATATCATAGTACCATAGAATAGCAGGGACCTTTGGAGATTGTCTGGTTTAACTCCTCTCTCAGAGCAGGGATAATTTCAAAGTTAGATACATATTAATGTTAGCCTTTATTAATTTTCCTCACCATGTGTTCACAGAAAATTCCCAGACAGATCAGATAGCCTAAACGGTGTAACTGCAGTGATACATGACTCTCAGTAATGCAACCTCTAGAAATTAATCTGGCCTTATATGTCTATACGTGATTCTTTTTCTATTGTTAAATACTGCTTTGCTTTACAAGTAGGCCACATATGATGTACATTTTTTTCTTGAAATAAATGTTTCTTTTTAGTGGGTGATATCTAGCCACAGTATTCACTCAGGCTCAACAATATACAAAGATAAGCCACACACTACATGACAGCTGTCAGAGGAGGGTCTAATTTTATTTCTTATTTAAGAAAGCAGGCTGAAGATGTTTGTTTAAGCCAACTACAGCCTGAACATCCTGCAAGAGGAGATGCAGATTTCAGAGAGGTGGGAGTAGAGCCTGGCAGTGACAGAGGGGACAAAACCTTCTAGGAAGGAAACGAGATAACAAGGAGAGCAATATTTTCTGTCATTCTTTCAGGTGAGACACATTATACATTCTTGTATCTGAGAATCAGCAACAATCTATCATTTTGCTATTGAGGAAATTCACTCCATAGTTCAGGCTAACCTTTGATGTTCATTCAGCTTTCCCACTGCTGGTCACTGTTTAGATAAGCAGACAGCTCCTAATCTTCCCTGAGCTGAAATGGATGGCAAAATTCCCTGTGGCTTCACACTGAATATGAATACAGCCCAACTGTGAACAGTGGGACTAACTCCTTCCTGTATCTGGCTACAAGTATGTGAAGACGTTTGGTATGATTCCTGTCTCTTCTCCCCATCCTGTCTTGGGAAATTTGTCATGTCACAGTGCTATTTAATTGTAATTAAGCTATGCTAAGGATTTTAAAAGTTACAGTATCACAGAGTACCTAGTATTACAGCAATTACTGTAGTGCAGAAATAATATATGACTGCTCGCAAACCAATCTTCCCAGAAACGCTGGAATCCAAAGCAGCAACACCTGCAAAAAGAACCACAAAAATGAAACACTAAAAAACAAGTTTTAGAAGAAACTCGTTATTTTTGTAGACACAATTATTTATTGTCTTTCACTTCTATGCTGGAAATTTTTCCTGATTCAAGTTATTTTTAAATACCTAATTGCCAGCTGTACTTCTAAAAATGTCTGTAGCAGACCAACCTACTTGCTTCTGCTTCTTTGGAAGTATCTGGTTTCCCCAAACTTTTCTAAGAAACTGAGCACTTCTATTCCCTGGTGCTGGTGATGAATTAGACTTCTTTGATTTATGAAAGTATGTTACAATTTATTTACATATTCATTTAAATAATAGCTTCACTTTCTTCAGATATGCAACACTTCAGCTTTAAAACTAAAAGTCATGTGAAAGGAGCTGCTCAGGGCTGTTACCCCAGGTTGATCAAAGGGATATACAGACAAGTAAGGCTCATTCCTGGCAGGTTCACCTTTATTAACAGGTTGGGGTTGGGTTTTTTTTGTTTTGGTTTTGTTTTTTTTCTTTCTTTTTTTTTTTTACTGAAGCTTTTCTGAAGTCTGGGCTGCTCCCACTCCTCTGCCTGTATCTGTCATTCCCGGGAACTGAAGGCAGTTTTTGTTAATGGTGGTGGGGAAAGAAGAAAGAGCTGAGGCAGGTGTTATACTGAGGTCAGCTTCACTTCTGGCAACTATGTTATATCAAAGTGCTCATTAAGTACTTTTTAATTGTTTAAAAGATTTACAGTTATATCTGTACACATACAATTCAGTAACCAGAGTAAAATGAGCATTGTGACTGTAAAACTTGACTGTCTATAACCGCACTAGTTAATAATTCACTGTTATCTCTTTATTATACATTTGTGATCCATTTATATTTTTATGTTTATTGAGTTAAGATTATCAAACACTCGACAGATTCCCTTGTGTAGGAAAGCAAAAATACCATGATGATACTTAACCTCAGAAAACCATGTTTTTGTACAAAAAGAATGAATTTTCAAAAACTAAGGAAGAAAAAATCAAAAGAGCTTTCTGACACAAATATAACTCACTGATCTTTGAGCTCAAAAGGGATCTTAGCACGCATACTTTAACCATGGGTTGATGTCTCTTTCAGAAGGTATATTAACAGCAGTAACAACTTGTGCCTAGAGCATTCATATAATGCCTTACTTGCCTGTTAATTGTTATTCAAAATGCAAACAGTACTGCGAGGGGAGAATGAAGGTTAATTTATTTCATCATCTATTCGATTATTTTGGGGTCTTCCAAGGGATAGCATATCATCAGGCTGACTACAGAAGAACTATGTCTACCTGCAGAATGTAAAGACTATCTCACTTGTACAGCAAATAAAGATAATAAAAGTACTATCCATATGGCAAGGGAATACAGATCAGTGCACAGAAAAAAACAATGTCACAGCTATTAGAGGAGGCTGTAATACTACTAAGTGTAGTAGTATTACACTACTACACTAGTAGTACACTAAGGATATTGTTTGAGGCACAAACAACACAATGGACACAGAATCTGGGCAATAATTTATTTTTATCTGCTTGGGAACTGGGAAAAAACAGGTAGAAAGAAGGACTTTTGCATTGCTGTGGGCTCAGATGTGGAAATTATATCAGTAAGAACTTTTGAGAATGGACAGTAATAAGTAATAGATTCTGTGGACAATAGAAGAGCTGGTTTCAAAGCCTGTCAACATTGAAAGTTTTGCACCTGATATATTAAGTGAGGAGATTTTACATAATGTTTTTAAAAGAGACCAAACTGTTATTGCCAAATCACAGAATGGAAGGGACCTCTGGAGATCATCTAGTCCAACCCCCCTGCCAAAGCAGGTATATCCAGAGCAGGTTGCACATGATCGCATCCAGGCGGGTTTTGAACATCTCCAGAGAAGAAGATTCCACAACCTCTCTGTGCAGCCCATCCCAGTGCTCTGTCACCCTCACAGTAAAGAAGTTTTTCATCATCTTCAGATGGAACTTCCCCTGTTCCAGTGTGTGCCCATTGCCCCTTGTCCTGTTACTGGGCAACACTGAAAAGAGTCTGGCCTCATCCTCTTGACACTTGTCCTTCAGTTTATAAGCATTGATAAGATCCCCTCTCAGTCTTCTCTTCACGCTAAACAGACCCAGCTCTTTCAGCCTTTCCTCATAAGAAAGATGCTCCAGTCCCCTCATCATCTTCACAGCCCTCCGCTGGACTCTCTCTGGAAGTTCTCTGTCTCTCTTGAACTGGAGAGCCCAGAACTGGACACAATACTCCAGATGTGACCTCACTAGAGCAGAGGTGGAGGAGAACTTCCCTCGACCTGCTGGCCACACTTTTCTGAATGCCGCCCAGGATATCATTGGCCTTCTTGGCCACAAGGGCACATTGTTGGCTCATGGTTAACTTGCTGTCCACCAGTACTCCCAGGTCCTCCTGCACAGAGCTGCTTTCCAGCAGGTCAGCCCCCAACCTGTACTGGTGCCTGGCTGGCAGGTGCCAGCATTCCTCCCCCAGGTGCTGGACTCTACACTTGCCCCTATTGAACTTCATTAGGTTCCTTTCCATCCAGCTCCCCAGCCTGTCCAGGTCTTGCTGAATGGCACAGCTTTGCAGTGTATCAGTCACTCCTCCCAGTTTTGTATCATGAGCAAACTTGCTGCAGGTACACTCTGTCCCTTCATTCAGGTCATTGATGAATATGTTGAACAAGACTGGACCCAGTACTGACCCCTGGGGACGCTGGAGCGTGTCCAGAGGAGGCCACAAAAATTATCAAAGGGCTGGAGCACCTCCCCTATGAGGACGGGCTGAGAGAGTTGGGGCTGTTCAGCCTGGAGAAGAGAAGGCTCCAAGAGGATCTTATAGTGGCCTTCCAGTACCTGAAAGGTGCCTGTAAGAAAGCTGGGGAAGAACTGTTCACAAGGGCATGTAGCAACAGGACGAGGGGGTAATGGTTTTAAAGTAGAAAAGGGTAGATTTAGGTTGGATATTAGGAAAAAGTTCTTCAATATGAGGGTGGTAGATCATTGGAACAGGTTGCCCAGAGACAAAGTGGAGGCCCCATCCCTGGAGATATTCAAGGTCAGGCTGGATGGGGCTCTGAGCAACCTGCTCTGGTAAAGATGTCCCTGCTCATGGCAGGGACATCTTTTTGTGGGATGGAGTGCTTCACAAAGCTTGCCTTGAGATTTTTTTGCCTGACACTCTTGCTGACTCAGCCAAGAGCCTAAAAACCATGCAAGGTTATTTCCTTGGAGTACTCAGTTATAAGGACTCTACAGTTACTATGACATGAAGTTCCTGTGACAGCCGTTCTGCTGGCTCCAAATTAAATGCCTTTGCAAACTGTTATGCTCATTGGAGTTTACAGAGGTATAATTAAGGGTAAACTTTGCCCCTGCATTTTTAAACTGGATAATGAACCTGTTAGTGACTTAGCTGTGCTAGAATCCAGCTTGGGCTTCCACTGTCAGGTCAGTGCTGCTTTACTAGTAGCTATAAAAACATGCAAATCAGCCAGGCAGGGATCA